TCCCTTTGTAGCAATTGAGGATAGACCCATCTCTTAGGAACTTTTCTTGCAAACGCAGGGTTGTTTTCGGGCACGGTGTGAATCGTGTTTTGAAGTGAGCCCTAAACTGTCCCTGTGTAAAAATGATAGAACGTGACGACCAGTAAACTGAACCAGTTTTGTTTTTTCTTCCTTACTCAGATGCTTCATGGTGAGAAGCAAGGGGCGTCGAAGTCTAGTTCCTACCAACCTGGCACTCCCATGCCTACGTCACCACGAGGACGCCCGAGGGCATTTACATGTTGAAGATAGGGAAATTGCCATAGTTTAGAGCCGCCTGAAGGGCAACCTTGAGATAGATGGTAACTAGGGTGACCCGCGTGCTCCGCAACGCGAAAAGGGATATTTTCGATCGGCGGGTGTTCGGTTGTTCTTGTGTCGGTTGGGTTATCTATCCATTTCGGTCGATAGCTTTTTGACGGCTAAACGTTTTGGTTTGTGGAAAAAATATCCACCGCATCGAGGTGCCCGTGTCTGATAAGCATGCTTTCCACTTCAGAATCTGTCAAATGTGCTTTATAATTTAGGCGCGTAGTTTTATGACAAATTAAAGGCGTAGATAATTTTCACTAAAAATCGTTTTGCAGAGGTTTGAAACATTTATATTTTTAAGAATACTGTTGCTTGTCATGCAAAGGTGATGATTGGATCTTGGAGAGAATTGAATGCTCTTTCCAATGATAGCATTCTCAATTGTCAAACGTATCAGGTTAAGCAGCAAAATCCGTGTAATTATTTAGTGGCACATTTTGGACATATACCATTTAATTCAGCGATTTTTTCCACATTGTTTTTGATCAATTAGCTTTTCACAATTTTTCCATGAGAGACGGTACATTTTTATTGCTAATAGGCGCTGTTTCAACTCATTCCGTCTGACGATCACCTGAAATTAATATAAATTCCAAAATCCGTCCAAAACGTCCATTTTTCAAAAGAAAGTGTCCTCCCCGGTGCACGTGGCGCGTGCCATCCTCCGCACCGCACACCATTCGATTGCCCGTTTGATTCTCTACACGATGCTGTTTTCCCCTTGTCGATCGGGCGCACGGTTACCGAGATGTTGCACGGGAACCGGACCCGTGTCGGGCAAATTTAGCCATTTTCGCCCGTTTTTGCAAGCCGATTTATACATGTAAAGTCTATGACGCGAATTTGCACTTTTCGGGCACGCGCCACGCGCTCGCTATCGACCCGATCGAGCTGAGACCCCTCAAAGGCACGTTGTCCATCCTTGTTCTATGAGTTGCGCAAACTTCAGCGCGGTAGGTGCAACGGTGTGACCTGTAACCCGCGCTACGTAGCACCATGTCGCGACCTCGGTTACAGACAGAAACTACGTCACCACAAATAGTAATATAGATGTAAATGTGTGTTAATATGATCATCAACATGTTATTTATCCAAATCCAGGGCCAATTAATCGATAACCTGTCACGTTTTCCAGTGGTGATGCGCTAACGTTCGTGGTTCTTGCAGCCAATAAGGGTGTTTCATAGTGCGATTCAGCCGCATTATCGACTTTAAAGGGACTATCTCACCGTCTAAAATGTTGTTAAAACCAGTTAAATTGTGCCCGACTTTATAGATTGGATGACCAGGAACACGGTTCTGGCATTTATTTTTCATTAAACATCTTAGGCTTCCCATATTCCAAACACAAACTTTCAAATATGTGACGTCACAGCCCAAAATTACCTCTACCTTGGCCACATTACTGTCATAAAGCCGATTCTTTTTACTCTGTAGGCACCACAACAAAGTTCAGACCAAGTTTTAAGCTATTTTTCAACGAACAAACCCATTTAAATCAGATTGACTAAACGAGGTGACGTCACACTAACGGTCGCTCCATGTTGAAGATAGGGCCTTGTACAAGGCCCATTTTCAAATGAAGGGAACGAATTTCTTCAACACCAAGAGGCCGCGGGGGTTGCAACCTAGATAGATAGTGGTTTCTGAACCTCGCCGCAAACTTGGCTATCTCAACTCAAACCCCATGTTAAAGGTGGGATAGTCCCTTTAATGCCATAAACCGCCACGGAACATACGATTTGCAGCTCCCTGGCGTGAAAGCTGCCAGTAGGGCTCCGGAGTCATGAAGTCGGTCGGAGTTGACAGTTCTGACCTGAGTCGTCGAGTCGGAGTCAGAGTAGATTTTAACAGCCTGGAGTCTGAGTCAATCACCGAAATTCGATCCCCTCCGCATACCTTTCAGGGTTCCGTAGTCTGAGTTGTAGTCGGTCGGAGTCGACAGTTCTGACCAGAGTCAGTGTCAGAGTCGATTTTGAAAGCCAGAGTCGGAGTCGGAGTCACCAAAAAACCATTGCCTCCGCAGACCTGCTAGGGCTGTGGAATCGGAGTCAGTCGATCGGAGCCGACATTTGAAATCAAAGTCAGAGTTGATTTTTGAAAGTCTGAGTCAGAGTCGGAGTCATCAAGAAACCCATCGACGATCCGCAGTACCGTGCAGTAAGGGCGCTGCCGATCGATGCCCCTGAATTGCCTATGGATTGAATGAATAGATGACAATTAGGTAGGTACCTTCTATCATTCATCCCCTGCCACTTGGAGGACTTACAGTAGAAAAAGACGCATTATTTTGTTTGTTTATTTATTGACAAATATTTTTTGAGCAGTTAGGGATACAGACACAAAACACAATGATAGCACCTCGCTGGTGCAAATAATTGCTAGATATAGATGTTGAGTTGTGTTGCCATTGAAGAATCTACTGATTTTCCTGGCGGCTGCCGGCTGTCGTTTTCAAGTAACTACTGGTCTTGTAAGATCTCTTGATTGCTCACCGTCTGGCGTCTTCCAAGGTTTTCTGAAAGCTAATCAAATGTTACCATGACTGCTTTTTGATTGCATGGCGCTTGCTGGTTCTGCGTAATTGGTGGTTCTTGCGCCTGATCCTGTTGCTTCATGTTTCATCACATCACATTAAATTTCTAATGGAACAGACACTTCTACCTTTTATTTCACTATCAGTCGACTTGCTTTTACCCCTGTGGCCTGGTCGTCCTTTTATTTCCAAGCTGGAATCTATCAATTATTGAAAAAATCCTCTGATAAAAAAGTAAGAAAAGTATGTCAAGTTAAATAATTGAGACGGTCCTAGAAAACTAGAAAAAAAAATCAAAAAGCCTGTCCATCTCACTTTCCTTACTTCATAACAAAAACCAGGCAGCAAAACATGCGAAAGAGTCCTTAGCAACGCCCTAGCAACGCATTTGTCTGAAGTGCGCAATATGTGTCACATCTGGAAAATTTAGTAGCTACTTGATTATTCAACTAGAGTTGGACTATATCTGCTAGGCTTTTATATAAGTGTTTGCTTATCGAATTTATAGTAACTGGTTGCTTAACTTCGAAATAATGATTTATTACAGAAAAAGATTGTTTGCGACATATTTGTAAAGAAACGACGGAAATAGCTTTGACTCGTGCGCTATTCTAGTACATTTTTGGTAGAAAACTTCGTCCAACCTTATGTTTTAGGGCCTTGGTGAGAAGTGAGCTAAGGTGCGTGAGGAAAATTTCCCGTGCACGTGCTTTCGATTGCAGCGAAAAAAACACGTGATTGCAATTAATAGGGCACCCGCGAACGCAATTAAAACCAGGTCATTTTTTATGAAACACCCTGTATATCTCGGAATTTCGATATCGGTGACAAGCTCAGGTCAATGTTGCGACCTCCATTATAAGTCGATGGGAGAAAATTTACATGCGCCTTTTTTGGGCGAATGGTGTTCAAAACCCTCTCAAACATCGGCCGATAGGTTAATATATTCCTGCCCGGGGCCAGGATGATTCAATAAATGTCACCGAGGTTTTTTAGCGAAAACTCCGAGGGCCGTTAGGCCCGAGGTGCTTTTCGCTAAAAAAGCGAGGTGACATTTATTGAATTCCCGGCCTTAGGGCTGGAAGGTGTTTTCCATACCTGCCAAAAAGCTCACAACTAAAATTGATAGTGACGTCAGCAGCCGTGTGGTTCAACGCGTTTAACCACACCCCTTGAACCACACGGCTGGCATTATTAAAGCACTGCATTAAACTTTGAAAAGTGTGGTACAGTGCACGTGCCATTAAAATGCCTGGATGTCTCGATTTAATTATGCAATGTAGCAGGTATGGGAAAACATGACACTGAATCGGAAAATTGCACCTGTGACCCTTCTGTGTGCCCCCGAGGTTATCTCAGGTCATGAACAGTCACCAGCAGTTTTTTGGCTATAACTTTTGATAAAGACAGGATAGAGCGATGAAAACACGTCAGATGTATTCAGCTCGACGATACGGATCGACTGATATGCAACATGACCCATTCCGGTCGTGTTGCAACTTGCAACGGACCCTTAAGGCCCTTGTTACACTGCCGAATTTTGGTACACGAATGTGCACGAATATGCAAGTCACCCTATGTCGCGGACCGATTCGGGATCTTTCTTCCACGGTCTTGGCAATTCGCAGACCAGTCGGTGTCCACCGCGCGACTTTTACGGTTCGTCACGACCGCCACGAATATTTCATGCAAAATGAAAATTTCGTGGCCGTTCGCCGAATTTATAATAAACGAGCATGATCGCCAAACAGTTGCCGAGTCGCCGCCGACATGTCGCTGCGTGCGTCGACTTGTTGCCAGGGTATCGCCGACTATTCGCAACAGATTCGCCATTCATTCGCGATGTTCGTCGAATCATGGATCAGCTTCGACCCGCGCACGATTAGGGGGCCCCCACCCGTTTTCTGCAAATCGGGCTCTGTCGGCGAACTGTTCGCCTCTGTCGGTAAACTGTTCGCCGATTTCCTTCACGACGTGATTCGGCGACAGGGTCGTGGCCAAAATTCGGCAGTTACACGGCCTCGGCCTCAACTGGATCGGGGACCCGCCGCCGACAAACTTGCCGAGCCTGCCGGTGACACACCTGAGCCCGCCGCCGGACCCAAGCCGGCGACACACTGGCTTGTCCCGTCGCCGTGCCCACTGCCGTCGAACCTCTTTTGAGAGCGTGGTCGGCCTCGTCGGCAATGTCGGCTTACAAGGTTCATCTGGACCACGAGCAGGGCGGGGATAAGACCCGAAAGCGTAACATTTAAATATCGCGTTAATTGGCTTGCATTTGCACTCCATGGCTGTCCTGTGGGCTAATCGGGAACCTTGGTAAGTAAGACGCCTTTTGGACAACGAACGGGTGGGCGCGAAGGGGCAGCCTGAAATGAACCCAAAAAAGGGATTTGCCAAGGCCCTAAATACATTGCATGTGGGATTTGGGATTTGCATGTGCGCACATTCAAAGGTACCCGAACTTTGAGTTGTAGAAACCTCTCAGTTGATGGGTCTTTAACCACGTACCAAAATTTGACCTGATCGGCACACGCATTCCTGAAATGCAAAAGGGGTGTGCACTAGATGTCAACCGGATACAAACTTTTTGGTATACCGATACCAACTCGGTATTATGTATTTAAATCCTGATGTGTTTATTAATGTGTTTGGTATTTTGTTGGTATCATGAACCCTCGCTAATGTTTAAGAGGCTAAGAAATAGGTAAACAGTAGGTATTTTCCTCATGTTCCCAAGTTGGTTTGGTTTCGGTATTTCCCCACGGTTTTGGTTTGTATTCGGTTTGGTATCGGTATTCCGATTTTCCGTAATTGACATCACCAGTGTGCACGTACGCACGTGCGTATTCATCCCACTCATGACCCATGCAAATCTACCTTAACTACCAGCTGGTGGGTCTAATGCATACGGAATTGGAACACGATCGGTCTAAACGATTAAAGACAGCAAGGGGAATATTTTCGACCCTACTCATTCTGCATCTGCACGTGCTACGTGCTACACTGGTCACTTGGGTCGTCCTCATTCTTGGAAGCAGGGATGAGGATATCCATCACCATCAGAGACAGTCTGTCAATCGGACTAACGGCTGCTGAGATATAAACCTCCCAAATGCGTGGCCACGGCCGACCGCCGCCCACAGCCAGATCTTCCCCAAAAGGTAGAGGAACGAGCATGCACTGTCGCGCCCGTTCGTAACCAAGACAGTTCCAAAGATTGTTATTTGGTTCCACGCTTATCTATTGATTTTGTGTTACAGGAACATACTGCAGCGCACGTATCGGCAGCAGCTAACTGCGCTGCTAAGGGAAGCGGGCCTCGCTGTCGGTCCGACTGCCGACACGCCCGACTGGCGGTAATCGCATTTGTACCGGCCATAGTGCATCGGGTGGTAAGTTCCACTTCGAAGGTCATCAACTAACCCTGTCGTCAAAATAAACCCGTAAAGTCGTGATTTTTTTTGGTTCCGGAAACCTTGTCGAGGAACGGAACGCGAAATAATACACAAATTGTGATATGAAACTTATGAAATCAACTTCGCACGATTTTCTGATATTCTCAGTGCTTTACATTTTGTTATTGCTGCTCGAAGGGTTATGGCCACTTGCACGTATCAAGATAGTTTCAAAGATTGTTCTTTGGTTCCACGCTTATCTACTGATTTTGTGTTGCAGGAACACACACTGCAGCGGACCTACAGGCAGCCAAATAACTGCGCTGCTGAGAGAAGCGGGCCTTGCGGTGGGTCCGACCTCCAGCACGCCCGACTGACGGTACATCGCGTGTGTCCCGGCCATGGTGCATCGGGTGGTAAGTTCCACTTCAACGGTCATCAACTAACCCTGTCGTCAAAATAAACCCGTAAAGTCGTGATCTTTTTTAGTTCCGGAAACCTTGTCGAGGAACGGAACGCGAAATAATACACAAATTGTGATATGAAACTTATGAAATCAACTTCGCACGATATTCTCAGTGCTTTACATTTTGTTATTGCTGCTCGAAGGGTTATGGCCACTTGTACGCATCAAGATAGTTCCAAAGATTGTTTTTTGGTTCCACGCTTATCTACTGATTTTGTGTTGCAGGAACACACACTGCAGCGGACCTACAGGCAGCCAAATAACTGCGCTGCTGAGAGAAGCGGGCCTGGCGGTGGGTCCGACCTCCAGCACGCCCGACTGCCGGTACATCGCGTGTGTCCCGGCCATGGTTCATCGGGTGGTAAGTTCCACTTCAACGGTCATCGACTATCTCTGTCGTCAAAATAACCCCGTAAAGTCGTGATCTATTTTGGTTCCGGAAACCTTGTCGAGGAACGGAACGCGAAATAATACACAAATTATGATATGAAACTTAAGAAATAAACTTGGCACGATATTCTGATATTCTGTGTTTAACATTTTGTTATTGGTGCTCGTAAGGTTATGGGCACTTGTATGTATCAAGAGATCCAAAGATTGGTGTTTGGTTTTACGCTTATCTACTGTCTTTGTGTTACAGGAACACACACTGCAGTGCACCTACCGGCAGCAGCTAACTGCGCTGCTGAGAGAAGCGGGCCTCGCGGTGGGTCCGACCTCCACCACGCCCGACTGGCGGTATATCGCATGTGCACCGGTCATGGTGCATCGGGTAAGTTCCGCTTCAACGGTCATCGACTATCTCTGTCAAAACAACCCCGTAAAGTCGTGATCTATTTTGGTTCCGGAAACCTTGTTGAGGAAAGAAATGCGAAATTACATAATACAAAATTTGTTAAATGAAACTTATGAAATTTACTTACCACTATATTGAGGCTCAGCGTTTAACATTTTGTTTAACGCTGAGTTATCAATATAACTCGGCCTATATTGGTTTTTAACTAATCAACGAGCCGAGCACAAAGTTTCGTAAAAATCGGAGGTGAGCTTCAATATGTCATTTTTTGTCCCACTTGACTTTTTCATCTTCTTTTATTGTTTAAACATTTGAGTTTGGAACGGAATGATAATTAAGCTGGTTTTATGCTTCACATGACTCATGGCCTTTTCAAATGACAAATCAATGTTTTTCGTTGGAAAGTATCCATGACTGTATAATAAAGCACATACAAATTACGAAAATGATGCAGTGAAAAAGACAAACTCATGGGACGAGATTGCGGACGCGCTAGTTGTAGAAAGGCGGAAACTAGTAGGTTTCTGAAGGAGAGGATGATACAGCCAGCTGCGGGACAAGTATAGCATGGTGCGGAATGCAAACCTCCGTCGTGTGGAAAGTGGAGCCAGCCGAGCAGATGCAGAAGGACGGGTAATCCGCTCCATGCCCTCCGACACAGGCACGTGGCGGCTCAGGAGGAGAGGGTGGAGACAGTCATACAAGCCAAGCACGTATGCGGCTCGGGAGGGTGGAGATGTCATTCGATCGCAAGTATAATATTCAGGAAATGCGCTTGTACTGAACGCCAACCCTGCACGAAGTGCGTACCAAATGTGTGCCAATTAGCCGTCTTGAAAACGATTGATAATCTCGAGCAAGCTCAACGAGCTTTCGAAAAAGCTTCACCCTGGTGAATGGCTCCTGAATGGCCCTGCCCTTTCCAGCGATGCAGGATGAATGTCAAACGATCAGCACCGATAACGTGTGGCAAAAAGAAGCGGCGCTTGCAGAGGGAACTCCAGGGAATATGATTGAGACGGTTACTGGTTAGCACGTCTGCCTCCCATGGCCAGATGTACACCACCAACCATTGCGCGCGTGCCACAACAGTCACCCTCCTCTGCTCTTTCAGCGAGGTGGCCTATCACTACGTTCAAGGGAGGAGTGGCCACCGGATCTTCGAAGACTGCAGCCAGCGCCCGTGCTTTGATGCGCTTGTTTCACTTGTGCATAAACAATCGTGCCGTCTCGTGTGTTAGATTATTAGGACCATGCCTTTTTTGTTTTTTTCTTGATAACGGGCCGTCACAAATCATTGTATTTGGGCCCGGTTAAAGGGACTATCCCACCTTCTAAAATGTTGTTAAAACCAGTTAAATTGTTCCCGAATTAATAGATTGGATGACCAGGAACACGGTTCTGGCATTTATTTTTCATTAAACATCTTAGGCTTCCCATATTCCAAACACAAACTTTCAAATATGTGACGTCACAGCCCAAAATTACCTCCTTCCCCAGGCCACATTACTGTCATAAAGCTGATTTTTTTTACTCTGTAGGCACCACAACAAAGTTCAGACCAAGTTTTAAGCGATTTTTCAACGAACAAACCCATGAGGTGACGTCACACTAACGGTCGCTCCATGTTGAAGATAGGGCCTTGCGCAAGGCCCATTTTCAAATGAAGGGAACGAATTTCTTCAACACCAAGAGGCCGCGGGGGTTGCAACCTAGATAGATAGTGGTTTCTGAACCTTGCCGCAAACTTGGCTATCTCAACTCAAACCCCATGTTAAAGGTGGGATAGTCCCTTTAAAACCGTTGATGCACTGGAAACTATTACTGTACATATTTATGGACAAGGCCATCTATAGAAGGTACAATCACTCCCCCGCCGACCAATCAGACAGATCCTGAGTGGCGTCACCCCTGATGCTCGCAAGGGGTACTCCATTCCTTTGCAACGTAAAAATTACTAACTATAACTTCATTTGAAGATTATTGATGGAACTCTACACATACTCGTACAGCTCAACCGTTGATGTCAATGGAAAGTCCAACTAATTTTCAAGCGACACAAAAAGCAGCAATATGCTAAGAAATAGCCGGTTTTGAAGATAAGACGATTTAAAAACCCTCTGCAGCAGCAGGAAAGCAATAAAACGCATCGAGCTTATATTTTTACTATGAATAAAAAAAATTTCAGTAAGTTTTTAGATAAAAATGGATTTAATGTACAACTTTATTACAATATTTTCATTATTTGAAACTGTATCTCACAATAATATTTTGAAACATGGCAGCTGTTGCCTGTTGGCTTAACCCTCGCCGGCACAGGCCATTTTGCGTCCTTCGACGGCACAAGGGGGGGGGGGGTTGGTACGACCCCCCCCTCGCGTTTGGCCCCTGATCGAGCTAGAGCTTCGCGGAAAAAAACGAGCGTGTTGCCCGTCACGAGACGAAGCCGATGATACCCAATTTTAAGGTCCTAGGTCATCTGGTGACCTTCCAGGTCAGGTCAATGACCCGAAAACCGGGAAAATCGGAACCTGTTAGAAAGTCGTAAAGTGCGGCTGTTATGATGCTTTCCGGGGTGCTGATCACGAATATCGTGTTAGTTTTGATCAGAGATGATGTCTTGAAGCATTTAGACCAGGTCGGGTCAGGTCAGGTCAGGTCAACCGGTAGGGGTTGTGACGGGTATTCGTAATACGTGTCAACCGCCTCTGACAGCTTCGTAACATGTTACGAAGGCACCAAAACTACTTCGTAAATGTTCAAATGGTTGCTAAATTCGAATTCAGCTCCAAAAACTAGCCTAGAAACATGTAAAACTCGAAAAAGTGAACCGAGGTCACCCGAGGTCACCAAAGGTCAATGACCTGACCTGACCTTCAGGTGACCTTGACACCCATCCTAATGTATGGGGGCAACATCAAATCACATGTTTGAACGTTTGAAACCACGAAAAGCTTGCAAACGCGCGGCTAATGCGAGCCGACATACGCCGAATCGCGATTCCAGCCAAACATGGTCTCGGAAAAGAGGTCACAGGTCAAAGGTCATTTGGGTCAGGGTCATGAAATTTTCAGGGTAGGTGTAAAATTGATCAATGCGAGGGTACTGAAAGTTTCGTCGCGATCGGCCGCGTTTTACGCGAGTTATTCGCGAAAAACCTTAGAGGGGGTTGCATCACCCCCCCCCCTGTGCCGGCGAGGGTTAAGTAGCTTGGGAACGATTGTGGCGCACCACGCCATTGTTGTCCTGAGGCTCCCTTAGGATGTCATCAAAAGTGAAGTGACATGGGCTTGCTTATGGAGGTTAACCATGTCCGTCCCAGCGGTGTCATTCTTTGTCAGTTTACAGCTGTTTTTGCGGAAAGGAAATAAACTATGCTCAAATACCTGAAATCATACGAACTGTGCTCTTGTTCAAATCCTTTTCGCTTTTTGTTCCCTAATTTTGTTTGATCTGTAAAAATAAACGATTATGAATACGCGCTCGCCGAAACACCCGAGGCCCAGTGACCAGCAGGGGCGTCGACACCGGTCCGACTTTTCCGACTAGTCGGACCACTTTTTCGACTAGGCGGTGCCCTGCTGTGGCTCGCGGGGGCCCCTGCTGCAGACCGCGGGGGCCCTACTGCGGCTCGGGGGGCCCTGCTAGAGACCGCGGGGGCCCTGCTGCGCCTCTGGGGCCCTGCTAGACACCGCGGGGCCCTGCTGCGGCCCGCGGGGTCCCCTTCTGCGGCCGCGGGGGGCCCTGTTGGGGCTCTCGGGGGCCCTGCTGCGGCCACGGGGGCCCCCCGCTGCGGCTCGCGGGGGCCCTGCTGCGCCTCGCGGGGGCCCTTCTGTAGCTTGAGAGGGCCCTGCTGCGGCTCTCGGGGCCCTGCTACGGCTCGGGGACCCCTGCTGTAGAATGCGGGGCCCTACTGTGGCTCGGGGACCCTGCTGGGGCTCGCGGGGGCCCTGCTGCGACCGCGGGAGCCCCTGCTGTGGCCGCGAGGGCCCCTGTTGGGGCTCTCGGGGGCCCAGCTGCGGCCACGGGGGCCCCTGCTGCGGCTCGCGGGGGCCCCCGTTGGGGCTCTGGGGGGCCCTGCTGCGGCCACGGGGGCCCCTGCTGCGGC